CCATGTTGTACCACCATTATTGCTATCCTTTTCCAAAATATTCTACCACCATCAACATAAGCTCAATGCCCCCAGCCCCAAAGAAAACAAAAATCCCCTTTTGCCCTTCTCTCCTACCCCTGGGAACCATTAATCATCTTTGGTTTCTATATATTTGCTTATTTCATATAAGTGAGATCATACAGTATTTGTCCTTGGGTGACTGACTTGTTTCACTCAGCATGATGTTGTCAAGATTCATACACATTGTGGCATGCATCAGGACTTCACTGTCTCTATGGCTGCCCAATACTCCACTCTATGTATGTCTGGAGAAGGATATCATGCTTGGTAAAGTGGAGGGTCAACGAAAGAGGGGAAGGCCCTCAACAAGGTGGATTAACACAGTGGTGCAGTGATGAGCTCAGTATAGTAGGGATCGTGAGGTTGGCACAGGACTGGGCAGTGTTTCATTCTATTGTACATAAGGTTGGTATGAACTGGGGACGACTAGATGGCACATAACAACAACAACAACAATACGTGTATCTCACATTTTGTTTATCCATTCATCTCAAGACCAAAAAACCCAAATCACTGCCACTTGAGTTGATTCTGACTCATAGCGACTGCCATTGGGTCTCCAAGGTTGTGAATCTTTACAGAAATAGTTGCCTCATCTTCCTCCTGCAGAGCAGCTGGTAGGGTTGAACCAATGACCTTTCAGTTAACAACTAAATGCCTCAGCCAGTATCACCAGAGATCCATTCATCTGGTGGTGGACATTGCAGTTGTTTCCATCTTTGTGAAAAGTGGTACCATGAACATTGATGTGCAGGTTTCTGCTCGCATTCCTGCCTTCACTTCTGGGCACATGTGTTTCCTGAACATAGGAACCTATAGGTGGAAGTGCCAGCTAGAAGGGCACTGCCAAATTGCCTTCTGACAGCTACACTCTGATGGTGACACATACATTGACATGTGTAAGGGACATGCAAACACAGAACGTGGCCATGAGAGGGCTGTGAGGTGGTTACAAGGAAGAGAGAAGGGGGATGGGAGAGACTGACTTGAGACAGACCTCAGCCTGTAGGCTGTTGGTTGCCATTGGCTTCTGCTTCATGAAGTTCTCTTGGTGACTGTGGCGGGGGGGGGGGGGGGGGGGGAAGGGTGCCTTCTGTAATCCTACCCTGACTGGCTCATGGATGCAGTCTCTAAATGGGGAAGTGGCATGGTGAAGCAGAAAAAGTGCCGTTTCTAGAGCCACAAATGATTTGAACCTGTGCTGTGTGATTCTTGGCAAGTCATTTTGTCTTTCTGAGCCTCAATTGCCTCATATGCAAAATGGAGCTAATAATACTTGTTGTTGTTGTTGTTATGTGCCGTCGAGTCAGCCCTGACTCATAGCGACCCCTCCTTGGGTTTCCGAGGCAGTATCACTACGGAAGTAGGATTGCCCAACCTTCCTTCCGATACTTACTTCCTATAAAAACGGAGTGAAATAATGAATATTAAGTGCTGGTGCATAGCTAAGCCAAAACAATACCAATTCCCACTCATGATGACTCCACGTGTGTCAGAGTAGAGCTGTGCTCCACAGAGTTTCCAAGGGCTAGGATTTTCCAGAAGCAGATCACCAGGCCTTTCTTGCAAGGCACTTCTGGGTAGATTTGAACTGCCAACGCTTTGGCTTGTAACCGAGAGCCCTTGTCCATTTGTGCCACCCAGGACTTGATGCATAGCTAGTGCTCAATACATGGGGATAATACTGCTGATTTGGAGTCATGGGGGCCTTGGTTGGAGGCCCTATGCTCATGCAGCGTGACCTTGGTAATGTCCTCTGCCTTCTCTGAGCCTGTTTCCTTCTCTCTTCCCTCTTGCTTGTGCTCATAGATCAATTCTTTGGAGAGAAAAGAAGGAAAAATCTGAGGTTTTCCCAAGAAAGACTAGTGAGTAAATCTCAGATCCTCTTCACCCTCTTTTTGAGCCCCTTGCAACTATTGATTTTCCCCCAAATACATCTCCAGGGGCCTCCGGTTCCCAGTGCCCCAGAGCTCCGACAAGATCAGGGCTGCCACTTGCCCTGTATGGGTGGGACCTCCTAGATGCAGTGTCTCTCCCTCCCCATATTGCCTTTCCTCACTGATGGTAGTGATTTGAAGACATGGTAGGTCTTAGGTGATTCTTACAGAGACGCAGGAGCCTCTTCCTCTAGGCTGACAGTGGCAGGGCCACTGAGGCCATATAGAGGCCACCCTGGAGGAGAGAAAATCAGAACAGGAAGAAGAAAAGCAGACCCTCTTTTTCTTTCTTGCTACCTTGGGGCCAGAATAGAAAGCAGGCTCGTGTGTGGCGGTGTGGAGGTGGAGGAGCGCATCCCCTAGCTGTGGCGATGCCAGCCATGCTCTGAGCCTGGTAAATCAGAGCATTTGTCCTGACATCTGTGCTGCTTTGGGAAAACCAGAGCTGTTGGCAGAAGGAAGGGTACTAATGGTTACTCTCACTTCCTGCACATACCACTGAACCACATCATGGCTCTGGTATAGTTAGCAATTAATCTATTTGTGCAGTGTGCATGCAACTGTTATCTACAGTGACTCCATAAGCTAAGTATTATTTTCCCATTTTTCAGATGTGGAAAGAGAGGCTCTCTCAACGTGGCAGAGTAGGTGGTACAGGCATGATTTGAAGCCAGATTGCCTGTCTTAAAGGCCCAACTCTTGTATCTTTATGATGCTGCCCCACCAAGAGAGGAGAAATCCAGGATTCTCTTAGACCACAACTTTGTGAATTTGTCCTTGATGTTCAGTATAACCGTATTTCACCTGGATGAACACACTGCAGGGTAGTGGGAGTTACAGTGTGCTGTGTCTTCTCCTGTACCATTCCCTGCCATTCCTGAATTAGACCTGCACTTTCCTCCCTGCTCCCACAAAAACAAAAACAACTGCCACTGAGTCAACTCCAACCCATGGCGACCTTATGTGCGCTCCATAGGATCTTCAGTGGCTGACTTCTTGTGAACTAGATATCCAGAACTTTTTCCCCAAGCACCTCTGGGTGGACTCAAACCTCCAACCCTTCAGTTAGCATCTGACCATGTTTTTTCACCACCAGGGAGTCCCCCGATCCCACTAGTACATTGCTGGGGTTTCAGCACCACGGACAGGTCATCAACTCTGGCTAGCAGGAAAAGAGCAGGAGCTGGAAGGAGAGCTCAAGTGTGAGAGTGGGGGAGTGTTGGCTTTGGTGCTCTCTGGGGATGACACATCTTGGCTTTGCCTTCTCCGCCCCCTTTCCATCTGCTGAAGGTTGCTTGGGAATTTGGTTTCCTTCCTGGCTTCTTTTGACTTTTTCATCTCCTCCTGCTCAACCCACTTGGACTGCCTCTAGAACCAACCTGGACTCTCACGCTGTTTAGAGAGTCCTAGGGGATCCCTGGCTCTCAAAGCCCAGGTGGGTCCCTGGGGGCTGCACACAAACCTTTGCATAGTTTATGATGGATTGTGTACAACTTTGCACACTGGTGTTCACTTAAATTGTTTGTGTAAGTGGGTCTCACTTTGTGTGAATCTGATATATGAAATCCAAATTGATTATAACACAAGGTTTAGAGGAGGGCTTCATGTCCCAGCTTTTTTGGACTCCTGGGGTCTTATGGATGGGTTTCAAGCTGGTCTCTGAACCCTCTGGAAGTGTGGGAATTTTGTGTGTGTGTATGTGTGTGCATGTAAAAAAAATTCTATGTTGCTTATATTCTGGAGAGAGGTTCTATAGGTTTCAATAGATTCTCAAAGGGCTCATGATCTTCAGAAAGTTAAGAGAACTATTGGGCTAAAGGGAGCTCTGGTAGCATAGTGGCTAAGGCACTTGGCTGCTAACCAGAAGGCTGGCGGTTCAAACCCACCAGTCACTCCTCAGAAGGAAGATGGGGCAATCTACTTCCGTAGTGATACTGCCTTGGAAACCCAAGGAGGGGTCGCTATGAGTCGGGTCCGACTCGACGGCACATAACAACAACAACATTGGGCTAAAGCATCTTCTAGTTGAGAGAGCCTTTATATATTTTGTGACTGCTGCCTCAGTTTGTAAAGTCAAATTCTAACCCCCAGCCCCACGCCCATGGACTCCTTTCAGTGGCTTCTGGGGGCAGCTGTTTCTCTTTCTCCCCCTCTCTGCTTCTCAAAGTCCACATTTGAGAATGGAGATGGCTGACAGTCCACAGTGTAACTTGAGGCATAACATTCCAAAGTTATTAACACCCTTAGTAATTTGTAATAGGTTTAATTGCAAACATTTGCTTTGTGCAAACATTTCTGAAAAAGCACTTCCAATTTGTGGCGCATGAGAGTAATGTCAAAATCATTACTCCAAAATATGAAGGGAATTCATTTATGAAGAGATTGCCAAGCCCTGGATAGCTAGCAGGTTTTTTTTTTTTTTTTTCAAATACTGTTCAATTGCAACTAATTCTTTAGTGTCAAAGGCTTTGAAAATGGTGGGGCTCATTGTAATATGCTTTGACCTGCATCCCTTTGCAGGGGTGGTTGTTTTTCTGAATCATTCTGATTTGTGTCTAGGGCAGCATTGCGATTTTGTAACTTTCTAGAGTTCCTGTGAAATGTGGCTTCAGGGTTAGGGATCAATGTGGGCTCAGGATCAGAGCTCAGTCTATTGCTGGTGTCAGGGCTCAGTCTAGGGCTAAGGTTTGGGCTTTAGTCTGGGTTCAGGGTTGAGGCTGAGTTTGAGACTACCATTATGTAGGGCTCAATCTTTGGTAGGTGTCAGGGTTCAGTCTGGGATCATGGTCATGGAGTAGTTCATTGCTGAAGTTAGGGCTTGTTCTGGAGCCAGGGTCAGCTCTCAGACCAGGACTACAGTTGGGGCTCAGTCAAGGATCGGGGCTCAGTTTATTACTAGTCATAAATTCAGTCTAGAATTGGGATTGGGGCTTAGTTTGAGGCAGGGATCAGGGTTGGAGTGGGGCTCTTAGCTCACTCACATGGCTTTCCCTTCCACAGGTGCCTCGGACCCCACGTCCAGTGGTGGAGTCAGCTGAGAGCAGGCGTTTGACCACCAAACACAGCAGGAAGGCCCTGAAAGCCAGTTTGACACTGGGTGTCCTGCTGGGCATGTTTTTTGTGACCTGGCTGCCTTTCTTTGTGGCCAACATAGCCCAGGTAATGCCAAAACAGGGGCAAGTGAGTCCAGGCTTGCTGGGAAGGCTCTGAGCCCCACCCCACCCCAGCTCAGAAACAGAGGGAGGAGGGTGGGCTGCCCCTCATGGTGGATATGTTGTGCCTGTTCCATCATCCATGGTGGGTAGTGTGGTGTGCATCCCTGCCCCAGAACCAGGGGTGACACATCCTCATTCCTCTAGGCTGTGTGTGACTGCATCTCTCCAGACCTCTTTGATGGCCTCACATGGCTGGGTTACTGTAACAGCACCATGAACCCCATCATTTACCCTCTCTTCATGCGGGACTTCAAGCGGGCCCTAGGAAGATTCCTGCCATGTCCCCTCTGCCCCCAGGAGCACCAGGCCAACCTCACCTCACCATCCATGCGTACCTCTCACAGTGGCCCCCGGCCAGGCCTGAGCCTGCAACATGTGCTGCCCCTGCCCCTGCCCCCCAACTCAGACTTGGCCTCAGACCCAGACTCAGGTGGCTCCTCAGGCCCACAGCTCACAGCCCAGCTGCTTCTACCTGGAGAGGCCACCCGGGAGACCCCACAGCCTGCCCGGGCCACTGCAGCTGTCAACTTCTTCAACATTGATCCAGTGGAACCCGAGCTGCGGCTGCATCCACTTAGCACCTCCACAAACTGACCCAGGCCTGGACCTGACCATTGGGGAAATGGACTGGATGGGACCCAGTCTCTGAAGGCTCAAGCCAACTCTTGGCCAAGGCCAGGAGGTTGCAGGTCTCCTTAGAGTCCTCTGAGAGCAACTAGGGTACACTGAGCCAGCGCCCCACTGCCCACTTCAGGCCCCATTTGGTGAGATAATAGCTGGTGTAGACTGTGTTTTCCAGGATGCACCACCAGTCAATGCCCTTGCAGATGTGTGTGTAGAGGATGGTTGGAGGATGCTAGGAGCTGGGGAGGACCAGCTGATTCATATTAGGATGAAAACAATCATGTCCCTTGTACATTTTATTGGCTTGATGGGAAGTAATGCTCCTCTCTGCAGAGACGGATTAGTGCTTGGCCGAGTCTTTCTGAACTTGGAAATGTGGTCCACGGAACCATCACCTGGGATTTTGCTATGCACATCCCCTCCCCATCCCAGACCCACTGAATCAGAACTGCATGTTAACAAGAACCATAGGTGATTTGTATGTACCTTACAATTTGAGATGTACTGGCTTACAGGTACTAGTTTACTAATTGATGACAAATTGACTGGGGACTCTTGGTAACCACATGTGTCAGAGTAGAAATGTCCCCCATAGGGCTTTCATGCCCAATTTTTGGAAACAGATCACCAGGCCTTTCTTCCCAGGTGCCCCTAGGGGTAGACTTGAGCTGTCAGCCTTTCAGTTAGCAGTCTGGTGTTAACCCTTTGCACCACCAGGGACTCCTGGGCTAGCTTAGATGAGTTTTAACCTGGAGTATGATTTGCTGGACAAAGTTTTCATACCTACCAGCCCCTCAGGATGGCTGTATCTCCCATGTAGCAGACAGGAAAGTGGCTGAGATTGGGGGCTTGGCCAGGCACGAATAAAATCTCTGCTCTACTACTTACTAGCTCAGGGGCTTTTGCACAGGTTAACAACCTCTCTGAGCCTTAGTAATTGTGTGCAAAATAGAGTAATGATGCCTACTTCATACGGTTGTCGTGAGCAGCCATTAGGTGGTAAGTGGCATGTCCTGCTGTTGTTATTCCTGGCCATCCAGCCCCCTGGACACGGGCAAGGGAGATCTACTGGTCCCAACTGTTCTTTTTCCGTCTTCCTCCTCCTGGGCCTCAGCCCAGATTACCATATCCCACTTTTGTTCCGCAGCTCCTTATTCTGGGAGCTGGGTGGGGTCCCACCCCTCCGGGACCCTTGCAGCTTCCAGGCTGCTGCACTGTGCCCCCTGGGGGCAGAGAGACAGCTGAAGGTTTCTTGTTCAATGTCAGGGATGTGTTTTCCTCTATTCTGGGCTTCCTTGGACCTAGACAGGAACCAGCTGATAGAGACACAACCAGGCCATTGCTCTGCTCCTTCTGGCTTTCCCTGACATCAGTGAGGGAATGGTGGTCACACAGGTGAGGAGCGTTGAAGAGGAGTTGTCCCTGGCATGGGTTGGGCTCCAGGCTGGCAGCTGGATCCTAACACAGGGGCTTTTTGGGCGTGGTTCTTGTTTCTCGTTTACCTGACATAGGTTCCTTTTCAGCTTGAAGGCTCCACCCCCCCAACCCACCCCTGGTGAAAATTCCATCCACCCAAATGCCTGGGGGTCCTCCGTGGCTGCCCTGATGCTCTCCTTGGTGCTGATCAGACTCAACTTTAGCCTTGGCCTCAGCCTACAGAGAGGCCATGGTGCTTTCTGGGGCTTCTCCTTCGCCCCCAGGCCTGGCTGAGCAGACTCTCAATAAACATTAGCCAAAGGCCGTGACTTGAGTGTGGACTGGATTCACTTGATGGGTCACTTGAGACCTGTGAAGCAGCTGGTGTTGTGGGAAGAGACTGGTGCAGGTGTCCTGGGTTTGGGAACTCAGGAAAGTCATTATCCCTCTCGGGGGTCTCAATTCTCTGTGTATAACAGACCAGGTGGGACTAACAGCAGCAGGTCTGTAAATATGTGTTGAATTAACAAATCCCACCTCCGATACTCGATGACTCTAATTCTCCTGCCCCTCCACCTCCTGCTCAGCATGTCAGGACTTTCTCTGCTAGGGTCTTGATCCCCCATCTGCACAATGGGGAAAATTATCTCTGGCCCTGACTGACATTCAGGGGCAGTGGGAGGAACAAAAGAGAAGGTTCCCATGAATGCAGATACAGTGGTTAAGAGCACTGTGCTTAGGAGTCTTGACTCAATGGGGTTTTGAGACTTGGCTCCATCATTGATCAGCTGTGTGACTGTGAACAGGTTACCTAACCTCTCTAAGCCTCAGTTTTCCCAAGTATAAAGTGGAGATAATGGTAGTAACCATCCTATAAGTTGTTGTGAGGTGACAATCCATGCAAGCATTTTTGTTGTTGTTGTTATGTGCCGTAGAGTCGTCCCTGACTCATAGTGACCCCTCCTTGGCTTTCTGAGGTGGTATCACAATGGAAGTAGATTGCCCAAACTTCCTTGTATACAGTAAATAATGAGGGGTAGTTATTATTATTATTTATAATCATTGCCGTTACCCCATTTCTGCTACAGGAGATCCTTTCTCCATAAAACTCATTCTTGTCACCAGGCCCAGTTCCCATCCACACTGAATGCTAATTCAGCGTTTGTTCACCATGCTCTTAAAATTACATCTAGAGCCACCACCATGTTGCACAACTTCCACGGGTGCCATTCACTTCACAGTCAATGTGACGGATGCCCCCTGTGGCTAGGCAGTGCTCAGCCTGCATGGCTGTGTGTGACATATCTGATCAGCTCTCCCAAGAGCAGAGCAAGTTGCTACCCCTCCCACCTGGGCCTGCTCTGGCCCCAAGAACCACCTCCAGAGGCCCAGGAGTTGCTTGTTGGTGGCACCTGTGTTGGTGGGCAGCTCTGCGGTGTGGCTGGGACAGCAGCTGTATACTTGGCCATGTTGAGGCCTGGGAAGAGTGATGGTGTGGCAGCCTCAGGCCCCACAGAGTCCCCTGGAGCTCCTGATGGATAGCCAGGCCCAGACCCCACAGCTGTGACTTGCAGTACACCATGCCCATGGCTGGTTTCTAGTCCTGGGGCTCTGAATTGTGGCTGGCTGACTTCAGTTCTCTAGGCTTGCTTCCCTAGGGAGGCTGAGTCTTCTCCCTTCCCCTCCTTCCAATTCCTTCACCTTAGGAAAGGCACTTCCAGAAATTCTGCATCTTCAGAGCTCATGTGAGGAGCTAACGGATGGGCGAGAGAGGGTTGCATAGAGAACTCTGGGAGAATGGCTCAGTTGCTGCATGGGGGTCAGTCCAGCCCTGGGCAGGGCCCCTGGGTCTGGCTGGCACAGTCAGGGCAGCCCAGTGGATTGCGGCCCACACCGTGGTCACAGACACATGAGCTGTCAGTGGGGTTGATAGCAGTGGGAAGGGAGGGCTCTTCAGATTGGTCCAGTCCCGTGGGCACCTGAGCTTGGCTGGGGTCAGTGAATGTGTCAGCTTTAGGGGTGTCCTTGGGAGTGAGACCCTGGACTTGCTCATCCTGGTGGGTGGTCTTGCCTGATGATGAGGAAGCGGCTGGCCCCTGGCGAGGCTCCTCTTGGGGCAGGCTGCCTGGGGCCAGCAAGAGGCCCTTCTCGTCCCAGCCTGGCTTGGTACGGATGCCTACGGCCTTCAGGATGATGTCCATCTGCTTGGCGTAGTCCAAGTGGCCGCTGACCTGCAGAAGGACGGTGAATGAGAGTTATGGTGGGTGGGCACAGCCTGACTTCCTCAGGAACCCAAGCGAAGCTCCTGGGCTTCTCATTCCCCCTCAGCATCCTCAGCCAACCAGCTGCCAATTCCATGACTCTAACCCGCAATGTTGCCCAAATCCAGAGTGCGGTGGGAGTCTCCAGGTTCAAGGCTGTTCTAGAACTCATTAAATAAAGACAAATGAATTTCTCTAAAACATCTGGGTTTTCTGGGCACAGGGAGAAACCTTCGGACGGACAGAAAGCTGAGCTGGGTGTTCGCTTTCCCTGCTGGCAGCCTGAGGCTCTGCTGCTCACCAGGTGTGGGACCTGGGGCAAGTCCACAGCCCTCTGACCCTCAGTTGTCTCAGTGGTTGAAGGGGGATAATGACTACACCAGAGGGCTGCTGGGAGGTGAGATAATGCCAAGAAGTGCTCACAGTTATTCTCCCAGGAAAAGCCCCAAAGGGAAAATAAAGCAATGGCATGGATTGCGAGGTATCTTGTACAATCCACTCTCCTCCTTCTCCCTTAGTCACAAGAACCCCAATTTATATGTCCCCCAGTGTCCCTTGCAGTTTGGTGTGGACTTGAGGCAAGTTTTGGTCAATGAGACAAAGCAATGGTTTTATGTGGTGCTCCTTAGAAATCTCTTTTAAAGGGGACAGCTGCGTCTCTTCTCTTCCCATGTCCTCTCTCCTGCTGGCTGGAATTCAGATGTAACAGCCAGAGCCTGAGCAGCTATTTCGTGCCTGAACTGTCTTCTGGACTTCTTTTATGTGACACTATAAATCCTTGTGTGTTTAAGCCACTTTAGGTGGTCCTCTGTTCTCTGGACCTGAATCTTAACTAAGACAAAGGCCAAGAACTCAGAAGTGCTCATCCTCTTCCTCAGAGAATAGAGACACCCCCATTTTTGTGTTAAGATGTGTGAGTGAAAAGTAGGGATATGACTGGACTACCCCATGCCTAACTGTAATAATGGACATAAAAAACAAACAGTTGCCATCAAGTTGATTTCAATTCATGGCAACCCTATATATGTCAGAGGAGAACTGTGCTCCATAGAGTTTTCAATGGCTGATACATGGGAAGTATATTGCCAGGCCTTTCTTCTGCAGTGCCTCTGAATAGACTTGAACCTCTGTAACCTTTTGGTTAGCAGCTGAGTGTTTTCACTACTCAAGGACTTCAATAATGGACATGTTATGAGCCCCTGAGTCTATTCCGACTAATAGTGACTCTATAGAACAGTGTAGAACTGTCCCATGGGGTTCCCGAGGCTATAATCTTTATGGAAGAAGGCTGCTGGGTCTTTTCTCCTGTGGAACAACTGGTGGGTTCAAACTGCTGACCTTTGAATTAGGAGCCAAGCATTTAACCATTGTGCATAGTATTCACTAAACTCACTGCTGTTGAGTTGGATCCAACTCATAGTGACCCCTCCTTGGGTTTCTGAGGTGGTATCACTATGCAAGTAGATTGCCCAACCTCCCTAATAAACCAAACTGACATGCCCTAGTGGGTTTCCGAGGCTGTAAATCTTTATGGAAGCAGACTGCTACATCATCTCCTGTGGAGTGGCTGGTGGGTTTGAATCCCTGACCTTCTGGTTTGCAGAAGAGCACTTTAATATGTGCCACCAGGAACTGTGGGTCCCTGATATATTGTAGCAAATAAGCGTATTGGGCATATATATATATTTTTTGACTGATGTCAGCTGCTAATTGGAGTCCTTGGGTGGTACAAACAGTTAAGGTGCCAGCTGCTTACCCAGAAGGTCAGCAGTCTAAGAACAGCCAGCGGTACCTTGGAAGAAAGGCCTGGTCATCTACTTAAAAAAAATCAGCCATGGAAAATCCTATGGGGCACGGTTCTACTCTAACACATGGAATCAGTATGAACTGGAATTGACTCAGTGGCCACTGGTGGTGGTGGTGTCAGCTAATTGTCACTCTACAGATGAAGAAACTATGCCAAACAGGGGTCAAATGACTTGCCCAAGGTTATACAGCTAGAACATGGCAGAGCTGGGCTTTGAATTGAGGTCTATCTGTCTGTAAAGCCTGTGCTCTTTCATAGAAAGTCAGCGAGGTGGAGGCACTTTTAAATCATTCTCATTTTACAGAAGAGGGCAGCAAAGTCCAGAGAGGGATAGTGGTTTACCCAAGGACACACAGCATGTGAACAGCAAAGCAATGTGCTGTGCTTAAGAGGCTGTGTGTGGAGGCTGCTTAGCTCAGACCTGCCTGAAATGGAGTGTCCCGCTCCACCCAGCCATCTAAGGGGCCTGCTTTAGTGCCACAGGCAAGGATGAAGCAGAACATTCCTCCAAGGCTGAGGGGATGGTTTTCACTTAAAAAGATGACAGGGAAACACTGGGGAGCATCAGAAAACAACACAAGACTGGCTGGTAACATCTGTATTCCCATCTGAATCACAAATCATATAGGGCTACTCAAATGATTTTTCAAGAGCGTAAGACAATTCCCTGTACAGTTTCATTATTTTCTCATGACCAGAGCCTGCCTACTTCTGTTCCTTTCCTTACAAATGCTTTCAAACAGTTTTCAGAGAAAATACACACAAATATAAGAGGCATTTTCGGGTTCTGGGTTCTCGGTAGGAGTCTGGGTGGCGCTAACAGTTAAGCACTTGAACCTCTAACCTTTAGGTTAGCGGCCAAGTGCATTCACCGCTTGCACCGTCCAGGGCTTCAAAGGGTTGGAGGTTCGTGTCCATCTAGAAGTGGCTCAGAAGAAAGGCCTGGTGATCTCCTTTAAAAAGATCAGCCATTCAAAACTGTGTGGAGTGCAGTTCTATTCTGCCACACGTAGGGTCACTATGAGTTGGAGACAACTTGATGGCCAACTGGGCTGATAACTAGAAAACCAAACCAAACCAACTGCCATCAAGTCAATCAGGACTCCTAGCAACACTTTAGGACAGAGTAGAACTGCCCTATAGGGTTTCCAAGGCTGTAAATCTTTATGGAAGCAGACTGCCTCATCTTTTTCCCATGAGTGGCTGGTGGGTTCCAGTCACCAACCTTTTGGCTCGCAGCCCAATGCCTTAACCACAGCACCACCAGAGCTCCTATGGCACACAGAAAGTGCTCCATAAACACAAGTTTCCGTGGAAGGGGGCGGAGGGCAGGAAGTTAGTTGGGCTGATTCATTTGGGAGCCTAATTCATGAGTTCTGTTGAAACCTCATATCCCCAGAAACCGACAAGAGCTGCCTCTCTTGTCCTTTTTAACTCCGTTGAAGGCCTGGTGGTTCCAGGGCTGCACGGAGATTGAGGCCGCCAGCTGTAGCTGATTCCAGGTGGAAATACCAACCTCACAGCTGTTCTAGAATGCATAGCTCTGGCCTCCTTGGCTAAAAGTTGGTTGTGGTCTTAGCCAACCCCAGTCCCTGGGCTGCCATTCTGCAAAGATGCAGAAAGATTTCCAAAGATGAAAAGACTTTTTTTTTTGCAAAGATGTCACTGGCAAAGAGTTTCAATTTTGCACTTAGCTGGAGGGATGAGAGAGTAGGAGTGAGGAGGGTGGGAAAGAATCACTTCTCAGTATGGGAAGTTCTGGCTTGGTTGATGTTGGAAAGAGATTTTAGCCTGTGACCAAAGCTTGGCTATCTGGATTGAAATCTGCCACCTGCCCAGATATACACTGGATCTCACTTGTGTTGAGAAGCCTTCCCTGACCCTGCCATGTCACTTCTAACACCCCTCTGCTCCTAGGTGACCATCCCCGCACATTGTTGGGGCTCATGGGTCACTAGATACATACAGACATGACTGGGCCTCAGCACTTCCTATTTCCTGCCTTATAACACACCTCAACTCACCCAAACAGAGGCTACTACCACCACCTCTGCCAGCCCCAGTAACTCTTTCAGGCTTTATCAGGCCCCTTTGGGTTCCTTCAGCTCTCAGGCCTCAGTTTGCTCATCTGTAAAATGGGGCTAGCAGACTTACATAGCATGAGCCTGTTGTGAGAATTCAAAGATCAGACATGTAACAGGCTTATTGGCATGGAGTTAGAGGTCACTGCCTAGAAGCCTAAATGTAGGCAGAACAAACTCAGTGGTACAGTAGGTTTCCTAGGTTCATCGGCTCTACCGCTCACTTGCTGTGCCAACTCCTGTAGCCTCAGTTTTCACATATGTAAGGTGGGGTCATTATGCCTATTTCATAGGACCGCTATGAGGATCCAATGAGATAACACACCTGTAAAGCACCTGTGTAGAGCAGTAGCTGGGACTATTATTGTTATTATTGTCTTCTTTGTGCCAAGCCCTGTGCTATGTTCTAGAAGCCAGCTGGTGTTTCCTTTGAAACTTGAGGACTCTTGCTCTGAGTTGGGTCTCTGCCCCTCAGAAGCCTCATGAGTTGGACCTGCTCGGGGGTGCCAGACTCCTGCCCCTGCCACAGCCCTGTCCCCACCCAGGAGTGGGGAAAGGCAGGGAGGCCGCCCGCCTTGGTGGGCTTCGTTCTTCCAGGAGATGCCTGCCTGCCTGCCTGAGATGGGGCCAGCCCCTCGCTCACTCCAGGTTTGGGCTCATCCCGAGATCAGCAGCCACCTGGGGCCGTGTCAGGTGGTCGGGTGGTTGACGTCTGGGATGGTTCACAAAGGGCCCTGTCCGTACCAGTCCTGCCATGTCTCTGTTCTGAGCCACTGTGGCTCTTGTTTCCCCAACAGCAGCCCTGGAAACTCCTCTGCCAGCAGCCACCTCTCCTCCAGTGAGATTTTTCAAGGAAAAGAGGAGGCAGCACAAAGGCAATGCTAATTCCCTCTAATTACCCAGAAGAAGAAAGCACTGCTTTTTGTGATGAGCTCCTAATGTGATAAAGAGCTATTATTAGGCAGGAGCTGGGAAGCTGCCACCACAACTGTGAAGAAGACAAGAAGCTGCTGGTCCCAAAGGCAAAGGAACCCATGATGGCAGCACAAGTAGGAGAGGAAGGAACCAGTTTAAATGAGGGCCTACTACATGCATCTGGAAGGTAGGTGATAGCTCTCATTTCATAGATGAGGAAACTGAAGCACAGAGAGGTTAAGTGACTGGCCCAAGGTCACAAAGCTGGCAAACCAGTGGTTGAGCCAGGATTCTAAGCCAGGTCTCTTTGGTACCACAGGCTGTGCTCATCCCACAATATCCCATCAGGGGCTTCCCTGGGCAGAAGCTGGACCTTGTGAGGGCTTTGTAGCTTTGCATTTAAAAGGAACTTCCGTCTTTTGTTTGATTCTTCTGGAGCTCTGCTGAAATCTGTTCACCATGGGTGACCTTGCTGGAATGTGAAACACTAGTGGCATAGTTTCCAGCATCACAACAAAACACAAGCCACCATAGTACGGCAAACTGACAGAATGTTCCTCAGAGGCGAGAATGGCGAGATTTGGTTCATTTACTTTGGACATGTCATCGAGAAAAACCAATCTCTAGAAATCAGCACCCTGTTTAGTAAAATAGAGGGTCAGTGAAAATGAGGGAAGCCCTCCACGAGACGGAGCGACTCAACAGCCACCACGATGGACTCGGACACACTAATGATCCTGAGGATGGCGCAGGGCCAGGTGACGTTTCCTTCTGTTGTACCCGGGGATCACGAGTCAGAGCCAACTCGATGGCACAGACAGCGATGAGCACCTACTGAATGGGGTTGCTGTGCGGTTTACATCAGACAGGGCAAGGGTATCAGGATAAAGACAATGCAAGGTGCTCCTGTGGGCCTAGTCTGTCCTGGGGAGGGAGCAGTGGGTTTCAATAGTCGATGAGTCTAGTAACTCCTCTTATTCTTGGGAGCTTCCCGGGAAGCCTGGTTAGAAAGGCACGGGGCTCCCTGCTTTGTGTTCCTCAGCTGGGTTAGGACTTGCATGTTAGGGCCCTGGGAGTCTGGGGGAGCAAGGTACAAGTGAGGATGAATTGGCTCCAGTAACATGGTGACAGGCTGGAGTGAGAGGCCTCTGGGAAAGGACTTGGCTGATGAAGTTTTTGGTTTTAAGTTTTTTGTGAGAGAATTTCCCTATGTTATGTTCAAATGCACAGTCAAGTCTCCACCATCACGTGATGGCTGAGTATTAGCCGTGTGTGTGTTGGGGGGTGGGGGGCACCTCAGCAGGTGGGGGTGGTTGATGCACCAGCTGTTGATACTGGTGAAGGGAGAAGCCAGCACACTCCACAGAGCCCCCTGCCCTAGGGGACTTTTCAGATGACCAGAGAGTGGCCTGGGTTTCTTACCATTGGGCAGGATGGCGGCTCAAATAACTGTTCTGCAGATCCTGGGGAAACTGGTTTACACTTGGGCAGCACGTGGCATTTGATAAATGGTGGCCAAAGATGCAATAACCAGAAACCAAAGTTCTCATTCTCATGGCCCTCGCATCACGAGGATTTTCACTGGCTGAAGTTTACCTGTGGATGGAGCTGTTGCTCTTGCCTTCAGCCTCCCTGGTAGGTGGGCTCCTCTCCCACTGTATCCTATATCTGCAGGCAGTCCCTGGGGTATGAATGAGAGCTGTTCCCAAATGTGTCTTTAAGTCGAATATGTAAGCTGGAACAGGTGCATGCCATTCTTATCTAGCCTCATGTTAGTGCAAGAAAAGCCTGGAAGCCTTTTCAGTGATTTAAAAGCTACATGTGCAGCCAGTGAAGGTGATTGTGAAGAAGGATTTGTTGTGAGTAGGGATTGGTTCAATCATTTCAAAGTGAGGGCAGATTTACATAACATTAAAGGGCAAATACAAGTTGTAAAAAAGTTGGGCATTCGTAACCTGGATACTTACTGTACCCTAGCCAGGGCTATGTCCACTGGCTTCAGACCTGGACTTGAGTCTGGCTCTGCCTTGTTCAGCTGTGTGTCCCCGGGCAAGTTCCTTAGCTTCTCTAAGCCTCAGTGTCTTCGTCTGTACAAGGGGGATGCTAATGCCTGTCAAGGGGACAAGCTGGGCACTCAGTGAGTGTCCATACATGAAGCTATCAATTCCCTCTGGTAGCATGTCAGGAGAAAGATGCCGCAGTCTGCTTCTGTAAAGATTTACAGCCACGGAAACCCTACAGGGCAGTTCTCTATCGTATAGGGTCGCTATGAGTCAGAATTCAACTTGACGGCAGTGGTTTTTGGGTTTTGGTGGGTATGTGGCAGGTAGATGAGTCCTGGAGATGAAGCCCTGGCACCAGGAAGGGCTGGGAGCTACCCTTTCACAAGCACATTCCTGTGATCTCTCTTTTTGGTAGAGAAGGGGCTGGGCTGGGCTGGGCTGGGGTAACTAAATCCCTCTCCTTCCTGGGCGTGGCCGGGCCAGGACTCACCACTGAGGACAGGTCCACGTTCTCCACCCTCCTGTCCTCCAGCTGCACAGGCTGCAGGCCAGCCACGCGCAGCTGCACCGAGGACGTGCGGTACACGAAGCTCAGCAGCCAGTCTCCCCTGTGGGTGGAGGGGAGAAGGAGCATCAGTGTCAGGAGGACAAGGATGAACCTGGGGAGGTCTAGGGGATGGTGCTCTTTTGGGAAACCAGGGCCCCTGTCCAGCCTATCATTCTGTGGGGAATAATAACTGATGCCTTCCGAGTGCTTCTTGAGAACCAGGCACTGACCATGGGCTTTGCACAATCACACTCTTAGGTAAATGCTGTGTTAGCTCCATGAGGGCTGCACTGTATGTCTATTTTGTTCCCTGTGGGACCCAGAGTGAGAATAGTGCCTGGCTTTCACTAGACGAGGATCTGTCGAATAAATGAATGAATGAGGAAACTAGGGTACAGTTCCTAACAAGTCAGCCTGTTGCTCAGGAGAGCTGCTCTCAGAGGTGGGGGCAGGGGGGAGGTAAGTTCCTGTTCCCTGGGATGGAAGGAGGGGCCCTGTGTTCTTGTATACTTGGATCCACAATCAACACCCA